GCTCCTTTGTTTTCTTTTAACCAGAATTTTTATCAGTAAATGTAGGGGATGATCAGGTGTTCCGCGACAGAAGTACTTTTGCCGTACACAAAATGAGAAGTGCAGGTGGAGCAAAATGAGTGAAAATGAGTGTGTGAGGAATCACAATATGTGGTGACCACCTGGTTTCTTATTGCCCCATCAATTAAAGCACAGCACAATTATTTCTGAATCAGAATTTACTTTCAAAACACTGATGGAACAGCTTACTTCCTCCTCTACAAGCACAAACACACATGCATGTGAACTAGTTTCTTTTAAAACTGGTAACTCTCTTCCACTAATTTCCAATCCAATGAAAAGTAATTATTTCTGAGATTATTTATCATTCTCTTTAATTTAGCATCAAACTGTCTGACATATGTTTGCATCTTAATTTTTCTTTCTTCCTCAGGCTTTACTGTTCATAGACTTCCATTTCCCCAACTTTCAATTACATAGATATCCCCTTGTTTAGTTATTTTCTGCATATTCTTTATTTCATATTTTGTCTTCTTTCAAAAAGCTTTTCCTCAGAATATGAATATACTCTTGCAAATACGATTCAAAATAATGATACTGCTGTAAATTACCAGACCAATCTATATTAATTACATACTGGAATATAGATACATATTGCCCAGTATATTCTCTTTTTGATTCAAATACAATAAATTCTTCCTATTGCATTCATTTGTATAATATTCATTTCTCAGAATCTGAGAATGACAGGAGGTCCAAACTAGAATGAATTACTAACAACAAAAGAAGTATTTGTTTGGTTCAATGAAATTCTGTTGAAAGTTTGGTTAAAATTAGTATGATCCATGATTGGTTTTTCTAATATTTTAATTTCTTGATATCATGGGTGGTTTTGACACGTTTTTGTTACCTATCTAACTATATTCATCTTATTTTAGAATTTGGTGAGTATGTCTACATTTGTTTTTCATTTTCACTTAAGTTTTCTTACTCCATACTCCCTTGTTACATTAAAAAATTGGGGGTAAAAACTATTTAACAGTCGGTATAGGTAGGAATGCCTCAAAAATGACAAGATTGCTATGTGCTTCTTTATATTTCCTGATTTTTCTCTAACGGGCATGGACTATTACTGCAATAAGAAAAAAATTAGGAAGAAGAGAATCTGTAATATTTCAGTCATCCCATGAGATGGATGTTCACAGCTACTAAACAAAGAAACAAATAACTCCAAAAACGCAGGGTGTATAAACAACATGCCGGCCTCCAGCATGGGACTCCTGCAGTCAGAATGTTTCCAGACCCTCCAGTTTCCAGGGTGTATACGCATCAGGGCTCCACAGAAAAGCTTAAACTTGTGAAAAGGCTGGAGATTCAAAGACAGATTTTCTACTACTTGTCTTGCGCACAAAATTAGATACTAAATTTGCTGACCAAAATAACACAATTTTGAACAGCCCTCGCTAAGTATTCAGGATATGATAGACAGCAGAGAGTAAGGAGGAATCAACAACTGTCAATCACTAAACTCCTTTCCCCGTGTGTTTTTACGATGCACACAGAAATGAAAAACACCGCCAACCACGCAGAGCAACCATGGCTGACTTCACAGGAAGTCAATTTCTTTTCCCTCTAGGGAAGAAAAATTCCAATTCTAAACCTCCCCCCAAATTCCAGATTTTTCTTTTATACCTTAAATGTATTTGATTATTTTTTCTTAATTACAGAAGTAATAAAAAGTAATTAGAATAAAATACAAAAATAAATGAAGAAGATACAGAACATCTATAATACTAACTACTAATCAAGTGACATGGAATAAATGGAATAAATACATTCAAACATGGAATATATATTCTAGATCCTCTATTTCCAAAATTTAGGTTATTTCAACTTTGTTATAAATCATACAGATTATAAAAGAGAGCCACCTTTGAAACATGAAGTCTCCTAGTTCAGACCAATTCTATTTAATCCCACTACTCTTGATATTTCTTATTTTCACCAATATCATTGTTTCATTTTCCTCATGTAGGCAATTTGAGAGTATCTTAATATCCTCATTTAATAGCAATTAAAAATGTAACTCTGCTCTAAATATTTTAATTTAGCAATGTTAGACATTGTGTGGCTTTGATGGTAACTTCAGCACACATATTATCAAAAGCTATTTTTAAAAATTTGTTTTTCAGTAGCACACAGTATTTCCTATGTTTATATCATTATATCAGTCATTTTATTTGGTAGCAGCAAATATGATATTTTTAAATGTTAAATTTTGATGTTTTTACTTACATTTTTTCCTTGGAGGAGAATTAAGTACATGTAGGCAGTGAAATCCTGTTTTCTTTAATTTAAAATTATCAACAGGTGTTGTTCTTGAAACATTCCAAATGCGCAAAACACCCACTTGAGAATCTAGTCAGATCAAGCAAAAAAGCATTATATGAACAAATTTTATTTGAAACCTAAATTGCCTAGATATAAAAGTCATAACAACTAGGGGTTGTCAAGAGGGGACGATGGAGAGGGACTGGGTACAGAATTTATTAGGGAGATGCTGAAATGTTCTGGAATTAAATAGTGAAAATGGTCATACAACGCCATAAATATAAAAACCACTAAACTGTACACGTTAAAATGGTGAGTTTTATGGTATGTGATTTCACCTCAATAGTATTAATAATCGATATATACAGAATGCCCAGGTCTGTCATTAATTATATTCTAGCCACTACTTTTACTGTCATCCTGCCTCAGCTGAAATCGAGCTTTGCCTTCTGTGTGCCCACAAACACGGACAAGCACACCGGTGTGTAAATATACAACATATTCCAATTTACTACCAGAAACCTGGAAAACTGGGCTTGATTTCATTTTTGTCAGTCATTGTGCTAACGACACACTGTATAAATAAAACTATAAATAAAAGTAAAATAAAAAGTATAAATAAAAGTAAACTAGAGATTTACTGTAATAAATGATAATATTTGAGATATTGGTAAGTTTTACACAAAATCAACCAATAAAAGAGTACAATTTCCTTGACTCCATTAAAGACCATACATACACTGAAAACTCTGGGGAAGAGGGTAGACTTACCTCCAGTTATGAACATCCCAGGAGCACTGGGGACCCAGGCCAAGCATTGCACTGAAGCTGCGACACTGGGAAAATTAAATGTTGTTATGCAGCAAAGGGATTCCGAATCGACGAGGCGAATCCCATAATGCAGATTGGCCACAAGAAGATACTCGGTGGACAGTGGGTCCCACTCCAGGGCGGTCACCGGGTCCTCCTCCTCTGTCCCTTCAAGAGATTCAGGTCTCAGAACATGTTTATGGCTTTTGTTACCTATTAAAACATAAAGAACATGATTTTAAACAAAATTTCGAAAAAGAAGATTAATAGCTGAGATCACGTGCGTTTTCTCCTGGGTCTACCCCGATCCCTGAGAGTTCTGAGAATACAAATCCGGCATTTCCACGCTGAGGTCGGAACTGACAGGTGAAGGCAGGGAGGGCAACCAGAGTTTGTCCTAATGACGGAAGTCAGGCTGAACGCCTTGCTCTGGCGATCCCTAGGACCCTGCATGTTTTTGTTACTGGAAAGCTGCAAGAAAAAGACATAGAAAAATAACACACACGATGTTGACAACGACAATCTCACTGAGTCACAACGGCGTGGGATAAGGACAGTGCTTCTCGGAGGGAAGAACCTCGTGTTCTAATTAAACGTACAGACTTTGGAGCAAAGCCGGATCCCACCCCTTATAAGCATGTGATCTTGGACAAGGTGTTTAATCCCTGTGTGCTCAGTATTTTTACAGTGGAGAACATACCAATGCTTCCTTCATGGAGTTTTCAGAAAGATTAAACAAGTTAGTTGTTCAACGCTCTTAGAACAGCGGGCTTACCAGAACGAGCACAGCAGTATTTACTGCCCCCCCATTCATCCTACCACTTGTCATGACCGTAACTCACTCCTGACCACCAGCACGAAGTGGCACCAGAAAAAGAGGGAGATAAAACAAGTGGGATTAAATGAAGAGACAGATCACCAAATAATCCTCTTGTTCTTCCAAATTATATACACACTGTCAATATGGAAGAAAAGGCTCTTGCCTCCAGGGGGACTCCAGCTGAACAGCATACTCTCATTCTCAAAGGAGAGGCAGTGAAACAAGTAAGTTTAGAGACTACAACCTTAACAGAAGTACCAATTATTCCTAAGTAGTGTAAACTTTAAAAGAAGTGTTTATTTAAAAAATAACACAATTGAAAGATACCACAGCTCTTTCTGCGATGTCATCATTACATATTGTTTTTCAATATATCCAAAATATAATAGCAGAAAAAAATAGATTTCCTTGAATACATAAGGTATTTGTAAAGTTAACTGAAAATCTTATGCTTTCTGGCTTGAGGATAATTTGTTAACTCACTACATTTAGAATGTAGTGTCAAAATTTAAAAGTAGTGTTTCCTTCATACCCCATTAGCTCTTGTACATGCAAAAGGAAAATGTGTAGCAGGATTACACTAATGTTTGGTGCATATTAATCACTAAAAGTCCCATAGAGTTGTGAAGTCAAGAAGTCTGTATTGGGCTGTAATGTGTTGAATTTTGTCCCCAAAAGATGCTGAAGGCTTAGCCCCCAGTATCTGTGATGTGACTTTATTTGGAAATAGGGTATCTACAGATGACTGAGTTAAGGTGAGGCCATTGGAGTGGTCCCTATGCCACTAGGACTGTGTCCTTATAAGAAGGGGAAATTTGGACACAGACACACATGTACAGGGGAACGCCATGGGAAGACTGGGGATATGCTGCCACAAGCTAAGGAACCACCGGAAGCTAAGAGAGAGGGCAGACCCTTCCCTGGTGCCCTCAGGGGGCCTTGCCGACACCTTGACTTCGTATTTCTGGCCTCTAGAATTGCGAGACAATAAAGATCCTAAGATGTTCACCAGATCACAAACAGAGCGAGTCTGCGAATTATGTCGCTTAACTGTGAGCCTCAGTGACCAAATATAACCAGAACCTGCTCCTAGCGCAGAGGACAGAAAAGACTGGGTGGAGGTGTCTGAGACAAGAAATCCAAGTGAAGTGAAAACTACCAATGATCCCTCCCCATTCTGCTCTGAAACAGATGAAACTCTCCCCGTGTTAAATGAGGACAACCAGAAGGGACCAGACGTGCAGGAAGAGCACAGAGGGGAGGTGGTAAAGAACTATATGCACGTTTACTCTTATGTTTCTTAAAAGGTAAATAAGAGGCCTTTTAAAATGTATTTAAAATAAAATGATCCTACGTTATCAATAATTTATACATCCTTTATTTTTTAACTTTAGAAAGGTCATTCCCTAAGGAAAGAGAAGATTTATTTGAATGTTCACAATGTCTTTTGTTCAATTTCAATTTCTTCTTTCTTCTATTGATTTCAGATAAGTTGAATGTAATATGTCTTGTGAGAGAAGCTGTCCTAGTCCTGCAAAAGCACTTACGTCTCTCTATCTAGTCAACCAGGAGTCACATCCATCAGTGGAGATGCCAGACGGCCAAAAGCACGCTTTTCAGATGTCAGTGGTACTTATGAGTAGAGAACTGTTCAGATAATTTTTCAATTCTTTACTATACATTTTATTTTTGTTTAAATTTAAAAAATAAACATAAACTAACTGCTCAGACCTTTCTATTAAACCAGATTAATTAACTAACAAGGCTATAAAGAGCTACTGTTCCTTTTTATCCCAGCTTCAAACTCTTCGCTAAGGAGTTGTGGCATCAGAGTGATATTTTACAAGCAGGTGGGAAAATATTTTTGAGTAGTTTTAGTAAGCCATCATATAATCCAGCTGTAGGTCCTTTTTCATTCAGGTCGTTTTCTTAGCAAATGTGCAGAAATAAAGAAATGACTTAAAAAAGTAAAAATACAGGACAAATGACTGAGGTTAACTCACAGTAAAATCTGCACAGCCGAGTTACATGTACTACAATGCCTTAGAAATAAAATTTACTTCAAATGGTTATTTGAAATTGGCACAGTGCTGGATAATATTTGCACAACTATTATTTCAAAAATAAAATACTGTTAACTTTTATGTTGTATATAAGAAATTATATATGCTGAGAAAAATAAAATGTAAGAGACCTAACTAATAAAATTCTTACCTGGTTGAAAAATTGATAGACTTCCATCAATATGACCAAAGACAACTTTGCCCTTTTTCCGGGTGTGCCATCGGAATATACAGATATCAGACAGGAAACTGTGAGCGTCTCTGTGTACGGTCACCCCACTGTCTGGTCCCGAGATGGTCCAGATGAAGAGCGGGCCTCTGTCGGAGGCAAATGCCACAGCATCATCTGCGTTCCAGCACCAGCTAAGGGAGGCAGGAGTCCCTGCAAGAAATCAAACACAGACAAACGACAGAGAGACGTGGCATAAGATCGATTTGCATCCTTCGTGTCTAAAACAACTAAAATACAAGAATATGCTCATTATTAAGAGTAATGTCTTCTTACTGAGGAATTTTATTTATCAACTAACCCCAAAGACTACAGGGAACATATGGAGGACATTTCCATCATAAAAGGAAAAGCATCTAAAACTACTAATATGATCACATGCTTCACATACTCAAAAGAATTTACAGAGTTCTTTCTTTTAGAAAACTATATATTAAAGCAATAGATGATTACTGAGGTTCTGTGTGTAAGACCTGATTTAGGCATTCTAGGTATACAAGTTAGTATGAGATACAATGCCTGCTTTAAAGGATCTTACGTATAACTTGGGGAGATATGGATTAAATGTATGAAAAGTGAGGATTTAATACCAATAAAACTAACGCTACCATCCATGCCTCATCAGGAGCTTAGATTTAAATCTCAGCTTTGCCTCAGATAGACTAAACGAGTCACTTTGCCTCTCTAAACCTGTCTTCTCACCTATAAAACAGACATTAAAAACAGCTGACCACGGCCTCACATAAATGTGAAGGCAAGAAAACATAATAGTGCACGTAAAGTCCTTTTTAAAATATAGGACAAAATACAAACGTTAATTATTAATCTCCCCATTATTACTGTGATCAAATAAATAATATGTAAAGTAAGCGTTATGGCAAATTTACAACTTGGGAGGGGAGTGACGGCTCTCCCCACGGAGACGAGCATTGATCAGCTGCATCAGAATCATCAACCTGAGTACGCGTATCAGGACCCGTGCAGTTAGGGCCCAGGAATCTATTTTTAACAAGGTTCTCCAGATGATCTTTATGCGTTAGAAGGCTTTGAGTCTATTGGGCTACTGTCCTGCGAAGAAACTGGGTTTGAATTACACCTTGAAGGAACAGTAGAGTTTAAACATATGGGACGATCAGTATTTCGCAGGAAGAGGAAATGCTATGAACAAAGACAGAGTTGAATGTTGTTCATTGATAGTACATTCAATTTGTGTCAAAAGTCTACCACGTGCCAAAAGGCAGAAACTGGAAGCCTAATGCGTATTTCAGGGCCTGACGTACAACGGGAATTCCATAAACATCCAATGAATGAATGAATGAATACACGAATAAAAAATGAAAATAAAAAGCTGGTTGGTTTTAGGATACACGAATAGAAGTAGGATGTCCCGAGTAATGGAAAAGACACGCTGTGTGGGTCAAGCCACCACAGCACACTTGAAGACAGCCACCAGGATGCTGGCTAGGACGTGTGTTTCCGGAAAGGCAGCAAGGAAGAGAAGGGACCAGAAACAATGTCAGGTAACAGCAGACAACACTTCTGCAGTGGCTTGGCCCATGCAAGCACTTCTAGGAACTCTGCAGTGTCAACTCATCTAATTCTCCCAGCAATATCCTGAGAAGGTAGGGAGTGTTATCATCCACTGTTAACAGTTCGTTTTGTTTTTCCCTGGAAGGATATTATTAAGTGTGACACTTTTCAAGTTGGTGACAATTTTAACATTTTACATTTACAAACTAATATTCATTTTCTTTTAAATGACTTTTCATTATTAAGAAAAAAATAATGAAGTAGAAAAATAGAGAGGCATTTTAAGTTCAACTGCTGGAGGTGGAAGTTCTAATATTTATTTTTCTAGAAGTTGACAATGCAGACTTCTACTTTGCTTCACCTGGATTCTGAAAAGAAAAAATGGAGTCTAATCCATTTCAAAGGGGATTATTTGAAATGAAAATGACCAAAAACATTCATAATATTTTCTTGCAAATAAAACATAAAAAAATAAGGTATCTGAAAACAGCATGAGGAATTTATTGCCTTTGAAAATTTTCAGAAAAGGGAGAAATATGTAAAATTGATCAAAACTGCTACTACAATTATTTAATCATTCTATAAGTGTTAATGAAAATGTCTTATTTAATTGTATAGTTGGTGGCAAAGGAAGTAATGAATAAAAATCTCTTCCACCATGAATGGAGGTAACATGATGTTGAATGACAGATTTGCAGATAAACTAGGTAACAACACTACAATATGCTGTCTAATCTGCACTTGTGCATAACATTTAGAAAGTGCTATTTTGCAGCTTAGTCTAGTATAGATTTTGTGTGACAACATTGTTAGTACAGTGACAATGCGCAACATCTTCAGTTTATGTCACATAAAATACGGACAGAATCTTGAGGAATATTTAGTGTGTTACTTAAAATTAATCTCACACAAAGCTCGATTTATAGTATTGGGGAAACACACTGTTGATCAATATACACAATACTGGAAAAACTTGTAGCATTTGTGATTGGCTGAGAAATGGATATGACCAGAAAAACCTGAAATCTTGTTCGAGGCTATCAATCACTGTTTATACCCCTCAAAGCTTTGGACCAAAGGTGATTTGGCTTTTTCTCATTGAAGTATTGACAATCTTAAGGAAAACTGTTACTTATGTTAACGGAAGCTCACTGAATAGCTGACTTTTAAAAAGATCTTGCTCAGAGATTGAAGCAAACTACTTACTGTCTAATACTGAAGTTCACTGGTTGTTGCACTTGAAAATAATAAGCAGGGTATGTGAAC